TTTGCTATGGGTTGTTTAGGGTTTAGAGGGTTTGCCAGTGCAACTTTGTAGGGAAGGCCTTCCGAAGCATGCAAAGCACCCCTGAACGACAAATTTCGAAAAAGTACTGAAAAGTATGCGAAAGTGTGGTGTGCAAAAACCCAGGCCCCATGGCAGGCCCTTCTGAATATATATATATATATATGTGTGTGTGTGTGTATGTACAATATTAATATACATATATGTATATCTAATATGTAGATATGTAAACACAACGATACATGTGTGCGCAGTCGTACATGCACACGGTCCTAGTCCTCCATTCCCACCTTGCTCCGGGGCTCCAGCGAGGCCACGCCGGCCTGCAGGGACTTGATCTCCTCCGCGGTGGCCTTTGCAGCCTGCAGAGCTTTTGGCGCTGCGCACCATTCGTGAGTGCGGCTGCCAAGCCTTGAACCCCAAACCTCGAAGCTACTATCTGACCCTCGAACCCTTGCTGCCTAAGCTGCGAACCCAGAGCCCGACAGCCTCTTCCTGGGTGGTGATGGCCTGCTTCAGGGTCTGGATCTTGTGGCGGAGGGCCTGGTGCGGAGGATCACAGGCTGTGGAGCTCCGCTCAGTGGCTCAAGGGGTAGGAGTTGGAGAGCCGTGGCATCCATGAGCTGGAGTAAGTTGGAGAACACGAGTTGGCTGCAGTTGGCAAAGTTAATGTTGAACCTCTCGCAGATCATGTTTTGATGTCGCCGCATGCTTTTCAGAAGTATGTTGGAGTTTTTCGTCTCGGGATCTCGAGCTTTGGCCAAGCTGTTCGGACTCTAAAATCTCTGAGCTCCGGCCTTGGTCTTGCGCTTGTTCTCGAAGGCCTGCTTGTTGCAATAGTCCTTCTTGTCGTCGTCATCGGACTGCTCCTGACACAGTCGCAAGATGACTCAAGGCTTCTCAGGCTTGAAGGTCACGATCTGATCCGGTCTGTGGCAGGGATTGGTGGGCGCACTCCGAAACGCAAACAGCTTCAGCGTTGACGAAGTTGCAGAACAGACGCACCAAGCCGGTACATAATCAGACGAACAACCCTCACCCCTCGGCATGGTTACGGGCTAAGCTTAGAAGACCAAGACTCCAAAAAATCGCAAACTGATTATTGTGTGTTGCCCAAATACAAGTACAAGGTATAGCAGCAGATAGCCTGAAATATAGATAAAGATTAAGGAATGGATACTGACAGATCAAGATAGAGATAGACATAGGCATAGGCACAGGTATAGATAAATAGATACTTGGTGGGATAGATGCATATGTGGATGAACTGTACATTGATACATGCCTACCTACCTACCTACCTACCTACCTACCTACCTACCTACATACATACATACATACATACATACATAAGCAAGTACGTACATACATACATACATACATACATACACAAGTACGTACATACATACATACATACATACAGACAGACAGACAGACAGACATGCACAGTGTGCATGGCCTTTGGTCCACAAACGGTGCTTCGCCGATCAGCAGGTCAGCCGATAAGCCGATCAGCCCAGGCACCCACTCCTGACCTGGATTGCCAGACGGTAAGGAGGCCGGTGGCCGGTGAGCCGATCAGCCGATTAGCTGCGGGGGTCGGTTGATCAACTGATCGGCTCATCGGCTGATCGGTTTCTGGGCTGATCGGCTCCTCCTCCTCCTTCTCACCTCGCACTCCAAATCAGGAATGGGTGGTGGCTGGGCCGATCGGCTGATTCCCACCTCACGCGCCCCGGATTTTAAAATCAGAATTCTTCAAACCCTCGAACTCCGACGGAGGGGCCCCAGACTGATGGGGTTTCGCACCAGAACTTTTCAAACCCTCCAACTCCGAGGGTGGGGGTCCCCGGACATCAGCCGGAATCAGCCGATCAGCCAGTCAGCCAATAAGCCGATTAGCCGATAAGCCGATCAGCCGATGGCGCCTGACCTGCACTGCGCGAGGGTAAGGAGGCCGGGTGGGGAGGAGGTTGGGGGATCGGCTTCTCGGCTTGTCGGCCGATGTGCAGGCAAAACAACCGACTTCGCGAGCGCAATGGACATACCGGCATACAGACATGATCCATCCATCCATCCATCCATCCATCCATCCATCCATCCTCCCACCCAGCCATCCATCCATCCGTCCGTCCATCCATCCATCCAAGCATCCCGACATGCATACCCACATGCAGACATGCGTACTTACATATTGCATATACATGTAGATGCAGCATGCATGTACAAGAAGCATGTGTGACCTGACAGACATACCTTGTCCATGTTTGACCTCGTCTTTGTTTGTTTTTCAATTGCTTCTGTGCTCACTACGGCAGCTAAACAAGTATCTTAGCTCTGCTAAATGACCATGAGCCTGCACCATCAACGCGGTCATATTGTCGATCATTTGCATGACCTGAGGGGTTCAACGAAGCCCTGAAGCCCCAGGCCCCTCTAGACCCCTGACAACGAGACCAAATTATGGACAACGCTTCAAGCTGTAAAGTTGTTCATGGACCTCTTGACTTTCCCACGTCAGGATGTTGGTAACATTCAACCCGTGGCAAACTGCATGGTGGCCAAGTGGCCACGGAAGCCTGAACTTCAGACAAAGGTAGCGACCCAAGCCTGGCAGGCTCTGTCCCTCAACCTGCTTGGTGCAGGGCCGTAGAGAAGTCGACTCCCTTGTGGGACAAGGCCAGCATCTCAGCCGAGCAAAGCGGGGTTTAGGGCTTAGAATTCAGGCATGGACGGACGATGGGCAGCTCCTGGGCAGTGAGACAGAACAGGGCAATGGTACTGAAACAGGAAAACGAATATCTGCACGGTCCGAACATACAGTCTCACCCAAGTTGAGTTGCGGGATCGAGCACGACAACCGGACGCCTGAGCTTCTCTGTGCTAGTTCAAGTACCCACGAGAGCAATCATTGAAACGCACTTCACTCGGCTCCAGCCCCGTCCATCCCCATACCTTACAAAGCAAACACGGCACGACTCCGACGACAACGAAGCAAACACGGCTTCGAGAGTCCAAGAGATGGGCCACCAGGTCAATGTTGGTTCGGTTGGGCACCGCCTGCGGAGCAGTTGAACATTGGACTTTTGGCGCCCTGAGGCTTGCTGCCCAACAGCAGCTAATCACTGTGTATTGTGTATGGGCAGTTCGCAATCCGAGGAACCCTTCACTGATACTCCATCAAAAGCCCTCGGAACAACACAAACTCCTAGTTCAGCTCCGGACTGGCCTCGGAGCCCATTCCCTTGGCATAGGTCTTCAATGCATCCAGCGCTTTGCTCCTGGCACATGAGGTGTTCCACAGATGGGACTTTGTGGTCACATGCAACTCCTAGCTCGCATTCTTCGTTCAGCATGCACGTTGTCACGGATCATAAAAAAACGAGTTCAACACTGAGTCAACAAATCATACAGCACATTTTCGCGTCGAGCTTTCAAGTCGGAACTTGGTAAGCCCGTGTGTGGATCCGCAGGCCCTGCAACATGCTCGACTTCGGAAACTGCACCAACCGCAACGACAACAACTATACTGACACTCCCAACGACCACACGAAATTGTCGAACTGCTTTGACAAACAAGTGCAGACATGTTATGTTTCATAGTAACCTGCATCAACGAAAGAACACAGCTCATCACCGATGGCAACAACAGCAGCAGAAAAGGCGGCAGCAGGCAACATCACCAACATCATCATCACCACCACCATCATCATCGAGAATATGGACACCGACAGCGGCCTTGACATCAACGTCAATTTTGGCAGCAGCATGATCCATCCACTCTCCCTCCGAACCTGGACTGCGAACCCTCCAGCTGCAACAGGCTTGGGCTAGGCCTGGGCAGCCGCATGAAGGAGACGACGGAACACGAAACAAGTGAGGAATGGCGTTTAGGAAGCTGTGGCCATCTGACGGCTGTGGGTGTTGGGCCTAGAATTCGGCTCAAAAAATCAGATCTCAAGTTGGGATCGCCAGGGATGCAGAATCTCTGAAGGATCATGTGTGGCAATGTCTCTTGCACGGTTTGTTTAGGTGCCCAGATACACGAGCCTCTGGGACAAATCGTGGGTGAGACTGCGCGACCTACTCGCCTCGGTTTCGGAGACCTGGCCCTGTTTTGTCCTTCTTCGGTGGAGTAGAGTAGCATTGCCTCGAAGACCCCACGTCTCTGCATCATCGGAACAGCTGAAATCCCGAATTCCTGCAAAACACGACCCCGACAGCTGAACGTGCCGAAAACCCTGCGATCGATCACTGCGCAGCCACAACCTCAAATCCGAAATCCTGAAGTCAGAGAATGCCGAAAGAGCAGGAGCTGACTTTCTCCGGGCATCAACTGCTGCAAGTCCACCGGGGCGATTACAATGCCTTCTTGAAGAGCCCGAGGTTCTCATCCTTGGGAGGGGGATAAAATGCAGGGCTGCCTCGTACCTTCAAAGGGCTCTGCCCAACTAAGCTCCTGCAGCTCAGTGAGAGGAGCTCGGTGTGATCCCGGTTTCCAAGCATCTGAGCTCCGCACGCTGTTCAGGATCTTGACGGTCTCTTGAATGGCCAACAACTCCTGGCTGCCGATTTCTCGAAACGAATGAACGAACCTCTGCGGTTCGAGTTCGGGACAACTTACTCGAGGCTATGACGGAAGGAGTTCGGACAGCTCTAGCCGACTCTAGCCACGCCTGCAGGCTTTGGAACTCGGTTTGTGGTTATTGGGACACGACACTTCCGAAGTTTGCGACCTTGGCATGAACCAAGACAGAACATCAAACCCGCTCACGTCGTCTCTCAAAAGCTTCAGCATTCGTTGCTCGCAGTCCTCGTTGCGGGTCTTCTCACGCACGTCCCATTCATGAGTCTTGGCATCGCAGGTCTCGGAGAGCTTCTTCCTGGCAGTTAGCACTCTGTAATCCTGGAGTGTGAGATACCGGGAGGCAACGCAGGAGGAGTGGCGCATCTAACTGCTAAGCATTGAAATTTGCGAGCCAGGGCCCCTGCAGCACATCGAAATCCTTGGAGAGGGCATTCTGTGCATCCTTAAGTTCGCCCTTGAGCTCGACAAGGGAGACCTGCGAAGAGAACGGGGCAAGGCAGTCTTTCTCATGCCCATGCACTGCGCACCTTGAGAATGCCGAGCCGGTCGATCTTGTCCGCAATGGTCTCCTCGGGCCATCAAAGGCTCGGAGCGGAGCAGTCAGCCAAAGACATATACCGGTGACCTCAAGCGCCTGATATACGCCATTTTGTCCGCAAATTTAAAAGGCCATCATTGCTTGCAGCCTGCCTTACCACGGCCGCCCCGACAAAGGCAAAAGAGACGAAGCTGCGCATTATTTATCATGCTAGGCCACACCTTGTGATACAAAAGCACGTGGCACAAAACAATATGATGATGTACAATTGCTATACTGTACTACACTGTAGTATCATAGTACACTATCTTAAAGTAAGAGACCGGGTCGCTGTGAGAGTGCGCTTTTTTGCACTTTCGCAGCACCACTAAAACATTATATCGACATGTTATGTGTAGACTTGTATGTTTATGTAGACGTGCAGGGGCTAATATGCATACGTCC